TCATCACCAAACCCTTATTATATGAAATGGGATGTTAAAGGGATTTATCTAAGAAAAAGATGATAAAAAATATGATCAGCAAAATGACAGCAAACTCACAACTATCAACAACTAAACCTAAACAGAAAAAAAAATAACAAACTAAGTAAACAACTAGAATAGGAAGAGAATCACAGAAATGGAGCTCACATGGAGGGGGAGGGGGGAAAAGGTACAGGGAATAAGAAGCATAAATGATAGGTACAAAATAGACAGGGGGACGTTAAGAATAGTATAGGAAATGGAGAAGCCAAAGAACATGTGTATGACCCATGGACATGAACTAAGGTTGGGGGGAAGGAGGGAGGGAGGGGGTGCAAAATGGAGGGGGACACAGGGGAGAAAAAATGGGACAAATTTAATAGCATGATCAATAAAGTGTACTTAAAAAATAACTAATTCTCAAACAGCTAACTAAGTAAAAGTAGGCTATGCTAGGGCCAGGATGAATGTGTCTCATGAACCAAGGATTATGATTAATCCAATCTTATGCACCTCGCCCAATCTAAAAAAAAAAAAAAATGAAACAAGACTATACAAAAGGATGGTCTGAGATTTAGATTTTAGAACGTGCATGCTTATTCTCATTACTTTTCCCCTTCACTCTTTTTCCTCCTTTTTTTTAACCATCATTTTTCTTCTCCATTTCAAGAGTAGGCTCACAAAGGTCTCAAGCCTTAGGAATCTGCTTAACCCCCTTAGTGGGCACTGAAGTCTCGTTAGGACTGACCTGGGCTGGCTCCTGTGAAGGGGACGGAACACGAGCATGAGCACCTGGATACAGCTGCTGAGGGTGCTGGGTCGTGACCTCATCCAGACAGGCTGGCCTTTCATGCTGGACAGTGAGGAGAGGAAGGGGAGACCCTGCCAAGCAGACCACCGCTACCCTGAGCCAAGGTTCTCACACCCAGAACTACCTGCTTTGGGGATGGGGGCTTTTTAAATTTTGGCATTCTTCTGCTTGTCAGACCTCTACCGGGCACTGAACGAGATCCTCCTGCACGCTCTGGGCGATGGGCTGGGCCCTCAGGGCTCCAGGGCACACAGTGCCTGTTCTGGGTCGCACACCATGCTGTGTTTGGGGAGCACTGGCATTCCCCAAAGGCTGGGAGCCGGGTGGTCGTCTGACTCTGGGACCAATTAGAAGACAAAGCAACCAAGAGCCTAAGTGCTTTATACGTGTCTTGTCTCCTAACCTTCACAGAACTTTCCCTTGCTGTTTGCCCCACAGAGCTCTGACCATACCCGATGATATGTGTCAACTGTGCATCCTTTGCACTTGCAAGGCTAGAGACACCGGGTATAATGGGAAGGCGGTGGGCAGACTGCTCTCGGCTTTAATCCCAGGGCCCCCACTGGAATACTTGCCACATCAATGTACAGTCACCTCTTTAAGTCTCAGGTTCCTCATCTGTCAAAAGGGAATAAAAGCCCGTATATCACAGGGCAGTGTGAGATCAAAGGAGATAATTCTTAACAAACATTTTTTAGTTCTGACATATAGTAAATGTCACACAGTAAATTATCTTTTATTATTTTTTTCTTGAAAGTGGGATCTGTAAATATAAATTCACTGTATTTCCATAGGGCCCAATACCTGCAAACATGTTCAGTACCTCTGTGTGAATGAGTGAATGAATAAATGAGTGAATGAATGAGTGTGTGCCCTTTGAGAATGAGATCCCATGTTCTACTACCCTTCTGACTTCCTTCTTGTCAGCCCCACAGCAGCTCTGGGACATGGTACCTACCCCGTTGGCCAGGAGTTATCTGAGAAGCCCTGGGTTCGGCACCTCGGGGGGAAAGAAGGGCCCTCTTGTCTCCTTGCTGCCACTTGCCAAAAGGAGAGCCACCAGTCAGCCACAGATGTCTTCTCTGGCCACCCAGTAGCTTCCTGAATGGTCCTAAGAACGTGAAAGGCTTCAGAAGCTTCTTCTCTTTGAGAATCAGGGCATCCCAAGGGGAGGACAGGGCCCTGGCTGGCACCAGCCGTGAGACAGCAGTGTCCTGAGGTCACCAGCACAGCCCGCACTAGCTCCGCCCCAGGCCCTGTCAGCTCCTTTCAGGGGCGATGGAAACAGGGGCATAAGTGCAAGCGGGCAGGAAGGGGAGACAGGCACCTGGACTCCACACTGCCTCCCACTTCCATTCCTTCCTCCACAGATCTTGTGCCTCACAAGTCCCACCCCTCCTCAGTTGATCAAATAACAGAGCGCTGCTGGGTGGACCCTGGATTGGGGACATGTCCTGGGCCAGGAGGGCCAGAGGCAGGAGGCTTGAGTTCAAATGTGACTTCTTTTTTTTTATTTAAGATTTTATTTTTTTAATTTTTTTTTATTTTTACAGAGAGAATGGAGGGAGAAAGAGAGAGAGAGAGAAACATCAATGTGCGGTTGCTGGGGTCATGGCCTGCAACCCAGGCATGTACCCCGACTGGGAATCGAACCTGCGACACTTTGGTTCACAGCCTGCGCTCAATCCACTGAGCTATGCCAGCCAGGGCCTCAAATGTGACTTCTGCTACTCTGTGGCTATGGGACTAGTCCCTTTGGTTCTTGGAGCCTTAGGAGCCTCATCTATAAAATGGGATACAACCACCCACCTTGAAGGTTGGTGTGAGAATCAGCAGCAATTGTGCATCTAGGAGATGATCTCAAACTGTAGTTACCACCATTCTTACTCCACACACTCAGGCAGAGGCAGGGAAAGGCCTGGAAGATCCTAGCCCAGTATTTGTTGGTCAGAATGGGCTAAAAGTAAGTATTTTTCTCATCTCCTTGGCTTCGTCAGCAGACCCCAGAAAGCTGGCAGACCCCAGAAAACCTCACCAAGCCCATGTTGCTGATGGCCCCCATGGGTTCCGCTTACGGGGAGCAATTTAAGAGGCAAACAGAACAGGAAAAGCTACTGACAATTAACAATGGGCCAGATGGTAATGCTAGTTTGAAGCAATAAAACATGATAAATAGCTTCCTGCTGCTACTCCTGATCAATTTCAATATTTAATAATTCCACTGGCACCCCACCCCCTCATCGGGCCCCCTCCACAGGATCCTGCCGCGGCTCCCCACACTCAGCTCACAGAGCACACACACTTCTTCGCTTTCTGAAGGTGTCAGCAGAAAGCTCTCTGCTCCACTGTCACACGAGTGCTCTCGGCCCTCGCGATGATAATTAATCTGCCTGCCTCTCCCGAAGACACTCCGTCTCCAGCCTCTCCCTGCCTGTTGCCAGGGAAGGCTGGCAGGGAGCGCCCACGGTGGAGACACCTCGGAACACCCGCCCTGTGCATTCAACGAGTGTTGGTATTCCCCAAGGCTGGGAGCTGGGTGGTCATCTGACTCTGGGACCAATTCGTAGGACAAAGCGACCGAGAGCCTTACCCACCATCCGTGCCTCTGAGCCTCAGTTTCCCTCTCTGTACAATGGAGGTAACCGCGGCTGCCTCTGGGAGGATGTGAGCCAGCACTGCGCACATAAAGGGCCTGGCAGAGGGCTTGGCATGGAGGAGACACGCAACAGCGGGCAGCCGGGAGCATCATCATCACTGTGCAGCCCGTCAGCAAGGGAAGGCTGGGCACGGAGCCTGCGGGGAGGGCCTGCCTGTCCCTGCGGCCAGGAGACTGCAGCCCAGGGCAGGCCGCAGGTGTGTGCAGGCTCTGCTGCCAGCAGTCGGTCGGACGGGCCTACCCCTGGGTGCTCGCCAGGTAGTGCCAGCCGATACAATTAACTGCCTGGTACTGCCGCTGAGGGCTCCTTAGGTTTCCACGCCCATGGACCCGGGAGGCCTCAGGCGTCCTGCAGAGCAGGGGCTGTTGGCACCATTTACGGAACCGGACATGGAGATTAGGAGGCGAAAAGGCTTTTCAAGTTTACATCCTACAAAAGGCACCATCGGTTCTAACCTGGATCTCCCAGCTTCCGATTTCATGTCCTCTCCACCAAATCTCGGGAGAAAGTTGCTCCCCTGGGTGCCCCCTCCTCTCTGAGTCCCTTTGGGAGGAAACCCAGGTGCCAGGTGACCCGTGCTGCAGTTCACTCACCTGTGAAATGAGGCTGGCCATGCCTACGGCACGGGGACGTCTAATGAGGGCATGTGCATGAAAGTGCTGGGTAATTTTGTGAGGAGCCGTACACATGTCAGGTACGGTTATGGTGACTTTGTAGAAAAATGCCCTTTGTGAGGAAAAAGATCAGAAACTCGTCCACCTAAAGGTGGATCTTTCTAACTGAAGCCTTAACCCCATGGAGCCTGGAGGATCAGGAGCAAACTTCTGTGTGGCCTTCAAGGCCTCGGCAGCCCCTGCAACCCCACCTCAGCCCCTTCGTCCTCCCTTCTTGCTCCAGCCCACCTAAGCTGCTTGGGGTTCCCGGAGCCTTTCGCAGCTGTCCGTGCCGAGACCAGGCGGCATCCCTGCCGGAGCGGGGTCTTTCCAGCCCGGTGCACGGGCTATCGCATCCCCGGTCCTCCAGGACGACTCCTGTGGGGCCCCTCTGGGCCCCCGAGAGCCTCTCTGCGCTCCCCTCCTCCTAGCACAGACCCCACTCCGCCCGCGTTGTGTTCTCATCTGCCTCCCACTCGACAGCGAGTGTTTTCAAGGCGAGAACACGCGCTCTTCACTCCAGTCTGTCCAGGGCCTGGCCAGCACCATGGCCTGTGCTCAGTGTATGTGCTGGCCGAGGGATGAGCGAACGAATGGGTAACGGAGCACTCCCCATGTGGATGGAATCAAAAAGCCTTAGGCAAGAACGAGGGATTCTAATGGGGGAGTCAGAATGTGGGTGGGCACAACCTTGTGGCAGACAGGGTCCCTGACCTCAAATTCAGCTCAATCCCTCAAGCCGGGAGGATACGCTTCCTCCTCCCCCCACCCTGACCCTGAAAGATAAGGAACAGGAAATGTCCTGCCCACCCCTGTCTGAACTCCCACGGGGCACGGCGGAGATCAGTCACCGGGTACCTGAATCCCGCTGGTCCAGGGTCATGGAGTTCCATCTCCTTGTGATGTCGATGTACAGGATGTCCACGGCGGCCATGGACAGGCTGCTGCTGCTCAGCTTGCAATTCCTGCCAGAGACGGGAAGGCACACGTCACCATGGCACCAAACTGGTCCTCGTCCCTCTCGCCTCCATGCCTGTGCCTGGGCTGCGCTCCCTGCCTGACAGGCCCCGCCTTCCCAGAGCCGGAACTAATAAAGGGTGCATGGCAGGGGAGGCTGGAAATGTACTGTGACTTGAGGTTAGACCATGTGGGCTCCTGCAGCTAGGCTAATTGGGCTTTTAAAAAAAGATTTTATTTACTAATTTTTAGAGAGGGAAGGGAGGGAGAAAGAAAGAGAGAGAGAGAGAAACATCAATGTGTGGTTGCTGGGGGCCGTGGCCTACAACCCAGGCATGTGCCCTGACTGGGCATCGAACCTGCGATGCTTTGGTTCGCAGCCCGTGCTCAATCCACTGACCTATGCCAGCCAGGGCCCTAATCAGGGCTTTAATGGGCTGCAGAGAGCAAGGACTTTAGGAGGGCAAGTCTTGAGTCAAACCTGGCTCCTCCACTTGGAAGCCAGATGGCCCTGGTTAAACAATTTCCCCTTCCTGAGCCTCAGCTTCCCCACCTACAAAACAGGCGATCGTCCCTACAGTCACGTGTGCTGGCCTGTCCCTGCACAGCCAGTGCAGGCTCGGTCTGCGCGGAGGGGGAACTGCCTGCACCTTCACCTCCACTGGTCTCTGGAGAAGGAGACCAGCTGGACCTGCAGGGCTGTGTTCTCCTGCCAGCATCCGGGCAGCTGACGGTCACACGCTCAGATGACCCGCTGACAGCAGCGCATTGCTGGGACCCACTGACAGCGTCGCTGCTGTGCAGAGGGACTCCCCCTGGAAATGCGCACCAGGAGGGTCCTAGGGCCAAATCTGCAGACTGGGGCTTGAGGCCTCTGCACTTCGCCCATCTGTCTGTCACCTCAAGATTTTAATGGAGGCCTGAATCAGCCACAGCAAGCCCAAGACTCTCAGAGCAGAGTGGCACGGGCTCCCCACACCCCTTTGCGTGGGCTGAGGCAGCAGTGCTGGGGGTGGGGTGGGGTGGGGGCTCAGTGCTCATTCCTGACTTTAGGGCAGTCACCTGGAAAGGACAGGAGGAGGGAGGCACAGGCTTCTGAGTTTTGGGGGTGCCCCTGGTTTGGGGGCAGAGAGACCGCGATGGCCAGCTTTCAGTCCGATGTCAGCGGTGGCGTGCCCTGTCTGAGTCACAGCAGGGTGTTTAGAACGCTCCTCCTCCCCGCTTGTATTTTTTTCGGAGGGATGGGGTCTGGAAATGTGGGGAGGCGGTCTGGCATACTGAAAAGAGCAAGATTTGGGCATGCGACAGACCAGGACTGAGCTCCTGCAACTCCGGGCAGTCTACTTAAACCTCCGGGCCTTTATTTGCTGGTCCCTAAATGAAGATAATGCCCTCCCACATGGCAGTTATGAAAATGAGGTGAGGGGCCAGCATGGTGCCTGGCACCTGGCTGGTTCCTAGCAACTGCTGGTTCCCTTCTTGGTCTCTCTCCCCCTTTCTCTCCTTCTCCTCTCCCAGAACTGGCGCCATCTCAGCCCATCAGAGGCTGGCTGAGGCGACCTCCAGGTGAGTGGCCCTGTCCGTTCTGGAGAAATGCTGCTCGCCAGTCAATGTCTGTATGCCAGGGCTCGCGCTCTGCCCAGCGCACAGGATTGCGCCGTGAGGCCAGTCCCAGCACTGGCTGTATCTGCCCTGAAAATCCTGACAGCTAGACCCCTGGGCCAGCTGTCCATTTGACTGAACTACATTCAATGTTGCTTTCAACTTTCCAAACGTGTGCACATCCATCGGCCCAGCTAATGATAAAGTGGTTCTTTGATTTCCCATTTGTCATCCTCCCTTGTGTGACTAGCTCCCCGAGGAACCCGACAGGCCAGGGATTGATTGGCAAGCAGGATTTGGGCATTTCAGAGGCCCCTCTCCAAATCCATGCACGCCCCAAACAAGGGCGGTTGGAAGCCTGCCGGCATGGTGCCTGGACACAGCCGGTGCTCCTTATATGCCGGCACGTTCGCTGGCCCCCCCCCCCCCCCGCCTCCCTTTCTTCCCGCCCCACACACATTTCTGAAGCCATCCATTCACATCCTGCTTCCTCCTGGGCTGGCCCCATATTTCAATCACAAGTCACCATGGCAGACTTCAAAGCACATCAGCGCACAGTTATTGAGCCCCAGTAACAACATGTCAGTGGACACAGAGCTTTTCATGTCCCCTGTCACCGAGATGGCTATCTCTATTGGGCTCTGCCGGGGCGGGGCTTCCGTGGCTCCCAAGGCCTTCCAGCAACCTGCCCGGCTCATTCCCAAAGCTTTGTCAGGAACGGCCACGGTTTCCTCCAATTATCATATCAGTGTCCTCCGGGCTCCTGCTCCTGCGCAGGACGGGAGCTCCGCCGCCTGGCTCTGCAGGTTAATAGAGCACAAAGAGCGAGGCTGAGCTGACCACTGGTATATAGTTATTTTTTTCCTGACAGGTAGAAAATGGAAGTGTCAGACTGTTAGCAGGAGCCGTAATTTACCTGAAAGAATTCTCCATTTATCCCTTTTCCAAGGAAATGCATCCTCCCTCGCGACGCCCGCAAGTCCAGCCAATCGCAACATCTGCTGCCGGGACGGGAGGGATCTCGCGGGCTGCGGCAGGCAGGAGATGCTGCAGAAGGGCTTGGACTCTGTAGGCATTTGGGGGGGCACCATCTGCAAGCCAGGCCCTTTCCTGCCCATGCAGTGCCCTGGATCTTTATGACCACTCTGCGAGGGCGGTGTTCTGAGTTCCACTTCACTGATGGCTAAGCTGAGACTCAGGAGAAGGGACAGGACTTGCCCGAAATTTCACAGCTGGGATTCGCATTCGGTTCTGCCTTGGAGGAGAGTGGACTTGGGAGCTTTGGGGAGAAGTTGGGAGGGGGCCCAGCCCAGGGCCCCAGGAGGAACCTGGGATTCAAGACACAAAGTCTCAGCAGGGGTGCAGGAAAGCTGGAGTCTCTGGAGAACCCTGTGGGGAAGGGTTGGGACAGAAGGTGGGGGAAGAGGACCGGGTCGCTGGGATACAGGTTCTCCCACGTGTGTCCCTGTGGTCATCAAGCAATGTTGAGAGACTCGGAAAGGGAATGAACTGTCACCCACCCATCCACTCAATGCAGAATTTGTGTCCACTCCACGGAGGCGGTGTCCTGGGCCTTGGGTACCGCTCTCAGAAGTGGAAGTGATCTCAGAGCCTGGGGTAAAAAACGTGAAGCCTTGATAGCTCTTAACCATTGAAAACAGTTTCCCCTTGTGTCCTGAGATGCAGTTCTTCAAACAACTAAAGGATAGATTCTTCGGTAGAAGAGAAGCCCAAGCAATATGCTAACACGAGAAGCCAGAAACATTCCTAAGAAAAAACTAACAGGCTAGAAATGTACACAGAAGAAATGCGCTGTGGAGCCCGAGTCCAACACACATGAGCTGGGACCTTGAGTTTGCCGTGTGACCTTGAGCAGGTCACTGAAGCGCTCTGCATCTCAGTTCCCTCATTCCTACAGCAGGAGTCAGGCTGCTCACCGTGTGAAACTAGTTTAAGGATGAGCTTAGTGCCTGGTACCTGTGGGGAAGGGACAGGTAGCAGCTCCCAGCCTTCCTCCAGGACGCAGAACCAGTTTGAAGAAATGTTTTTGTTCCGTTTTGTTTTTGTAATCAAAGGAATTTGGTCACGCGTGATGGGGAGAGAATCACAAATCACTCAAGTTCACTAGGACCCTGAGTATAGAGAGATTCGAGACTATCATCCCCATTTCCTGTCAACGACTACTGGCGTCTCACGGGAAATCTAGGCGCCAACTTTTCCCACTCCATGAAATCCTATTTATAGAATTTCTTTGTGTCCATCCTTCTCTGCACAGACAAGGAGCCTATTTTTCCTGGAGAGGTGTCCATCAGGTGAAAGTTAACAAATGACCAATATTTGTTCAAAAACAAACAAACAGACAAACAAACCACCCCTTAAACATCCAAGGAAGGGGAAAAGAAAGCTCCAGGTTATGATGTGAACATTATTTTAAAGGCCATGACCTCCCAAGCACTGACAGTAGTGCCAGAAAGAGGTCATCACGGAAGAGGGGGATTCCCACAGTCACGGAGGAGTTAATGACAGAGGAGAGGCAAGGCCCCTTAGCTTCCATTCCAGAACATTCTAACACACGATGTTGCCTCTTAAGAGAATAAAACCCCCCACAGCTACCAATGATGTGACATATTAGCATCTCCTTGTGAGAAAAAAAGGCAGAAGGGAGTAAAAAGGAAAAAGAGAAAAACTGTTCTCCAGGTTAAAAGGAGACGAGGCTCAGAGGCCACAAAGCGGGTGGTGAGCAGGGTCTCCAAGGGGCAACGCCCCACCTGCAGCCCGAGTGCTCGGGGTGCGGAGTGGCTGCCTCCGCTTCCTAGGAATCAGCTTGCTGTGGCGAGCGGCCTGGTTTTCGGGCTTCGGGGCTGGAGAACGCAGCGCGTGCGCACTGACGTCAGATCCCGACGCAGGATGCCCTTGGAGACCGCGTTCTTAGCGCGTTCCACAGGACGCCCCTCCGCATTAGTAGTCCAGGGGCAGGCAGTTAACAAAACCGCGTTTCCCTCCGAGAAAGCTGTCACACTGAGGAATCAGATCGTTTCTGTTTCCCAGAGATGGAGAAGTCTCCACGCCCCAGCAATTACTGTGAAATAATAATAATAAAGAGATGGAGAAAAGAGGCACTTAATTCATGGTAATATGTGCTACTGTTACGCGCCTCCCGAGGACACGACACGAAAAGCTGGTTAGGCGGAGTTAGGTCTGGACGGAGCGACAGTTCATTACTTCTCGTTTCTTGGTGGACGAGGAAAATAGAATACGGCCGGGCTGGCATTAGCATAATTCACTCCCGAAACTGCCGATCTGTGCAGCGCCCCATGAGAGATGGCCACTGGAAACAAACTCAACCGGAATGTGTGCTGTGTTGTCCCCTCCAGTTCTCTTCGAGGAACTTGGGGAGAGAGAGTGGGTGGGTGGTAGAGATGAAAGCCAAGTTCGACCTCTGCCGTGCGCGGGGCGGCCCCGGGAGGAGGGCCCGAGCAGCCAGCGTCTGTCTCCTGAGCAGCGCGGCAGAGAAGGGCACTCGGTTCAACTCAGCATATGGCATAAATATTATTAATTCATAACGAAGCAAAATTTAAACCGAGCGCAAAGGAGAGAGAAGAGCTGTTAGCAGGAGAAAACGCCTGCTGTTAAATTTAGCTGGCGAGATTGAACAGACTCAGGTAAATCTAAAAGCAGAGTACCGTCTTTTACGATTAAGTTGCTCCTGGGATCTCTGGGAACATTTTAAAAAGGAAAAGCCTGCTAACGGCTGTGCGGCGTTTTCTCCATGTCTTCCTGCATTTTAATTACTCAGGACAGTTGCTGGTGGCGTCTGTGTCGGGGGAGGGGCTCGCTGTCTGAGTCCGTCTGCTCGGCTGCCTGAAGACATTGTGCTCCCTCCTCACGGCCACCGTCGCTCCCGCCGACACGGACCGGGAACGACGGCGGCGGCGGGACCTAATCGTCTCGAACATCACAAAATCAGTGTTTCGTGCAAAACGCACTTAATTACAGAGAACAAAGGGATGGAAGAGCTTAAGGTCGATCACGGTAGAGACAGATTTGTTGGCGATATTTCTGACATCGCCCAGTTCCCGTCTGAGCGCAGTTTAGGAATCCTCTCGCCAGCGCCGTTCCCGATTCAGGGTTCTTTCCAGGGCGGGGCGTGAACACCCGTGGCCCTCCCTCTCCACGCGCGCCTTGGCTCCTCACACGCTGGCGGTCTCCGTGGGCATTCGCGCTTTGATTGAACCCACAAAGGGTTTAAAAATTTCTTCCAGAATGGCCAACACTGATATACATGTATTGAGGTTTTACAGAAAACCTCAGTAGTTCCAGTTTCTCTTGAAAAATCAAAAGCGCTGGGGCTACTAGCACAGCGGGGTCTTTCCTTCCCCAGCACGTGCGCCGCCGCCCCCCCCCCCCACCGCGCAGACCCCCACCGTGGCGTCTGCAATGGCTTCCTGCCTGCTCCTAGAAGTTCCCGAGACCATGATTCTTAAGGTATACTAGTTTTCCTCATCTCCCTCCCTCACACTGAAGTAGATTTTATCAGAAGTAAAAAGGAAGCATTTCGGTTTCCACTGTCGAGTTAGTCTGGATGACAGATCTTCTCTAACCTCTGGACACGAGGCACACTCCTGAAAGCCATCCCCCCACCCTCCCGCCGCCCGACTGGTGGCCCCACCTTCAGTGCCAGGCGAGGAGGCTTACAACAGTCCAAACCCTGCCTCCTCTGTCCGGGGGCTGCCTTGATTCCACCCTGCAGACAAAGAGTCCCCTATTCTGTCTGCTACCCCATGACTCTGCCAAAGGACTGCATTTAATTTTTTGTTCCCCATGAGCTGCCTGTTAGGCTGAGAGTCCCCTGAGGGCAGGTGGGGTGCCATTATTCATCTCGGATTGCTCGGCGGCTACTGGGTGCTCAGGAGAAGTTGCTGGGTCAGACCAGACACAGTCTTTTCCCACACGAGGTTGAGACGGAGCAGGTGTCCCAGGGTCAGGCTCCCCTGCAGCACCCAGACCGTGGTCCCCATGAGGCCCAGCCATCCCTCACTCTTGTGTGCCCTGGATGGACTCTTCTGTGCAATGGTGCAGGCAGTGGGAAGGGCGCGGGAAGCTCCTGCCTTGGCTCTGGAAGGTCCCAGCCCCTGGACGTGTGATGCTGAGAGAAGACGGCTCCCCCTCACCATTCCCCTGGGACCCTGTGCACTGCCACGGTGCCTCGGGGGCCCTCATGACCTGGGGCCTCGGTCACAGAGCTGTTCCCCATGTCCCAAGCCACAGTAGTCCCAAAGGGACAGAGAATATCTACCTACTTTTCTCCTCCTCTTCATTATATTGGGGCAGTGGTATATGCAGTTAGAAAATCCTATTTCCCAGCATCCCATGCAGATAGTGGAGGCCAAGGAGATAGACAGAAATGGAGGTCATTGAACACAGCCTCTGGAAAGCTTTTTAAAGGGTCTAATTTGCTTAGCAGAGGACTTTTGCTCTTCCTCCCTTCTTCCTCCTTCCTGCCTGGAACTTGACCGTGACCACAACGCAACTCTGAAGCTGGAAGCTCATGCTTAGGAGGGATGAGCAGAAAGAAAGAAAGTGGGGTGCTGATCACTTTGTGGAGTCATTAACCAGCCCTAGCACCCCCATTGCCAAACTTCCTGTTGTATGACAAAAACTAATTGCACTATCGGAAACTAGTTATAGGTGGATATCTATTACTATACAAATGCAACTCCTAAATGAGTCAGAGGGCAGTGGTATTCTCAGGGAAATAACAACACGTGTCTGTTGTCTTTCTTGAACATCTCCACAGCCTGATGGGAATAATAACCATCAAACTCCCATTTAACAAACAGCTCTCCCAAACCAGGCACTGAGCCAGGTGGTCTGTGCTATGTTACAGCCCAACCTCATCACAACCCTGCAAGGCAAGGGGGTTATTCCCACTTCATAGATGAGGGAAGCCTGAGACTCAGAGAAGACAGGGGACTTGCCCAAAGCCACACAGTGATGCCCTTGGCTTTGCAGCCAGACCCCAAAGCCTGTGCTCCTCCCCTGAGCTTTGCTGTCGCCCCTGAAAAGCACACAAAGTCCTTCTCACAATCACCAGGCAAGTGCTACTTCAGGGTTACTGAAAAGGCAAAAACTCCTGCTGATACTCTTGTTTACCAACCTATCAGAAATATCCGAGGGCTGTAGCTGGAGTTTATAAAACACACTTAGAGAAAAGTGTGACAAAAAATGGTTTCTGATTCCAGACTTCTAATTATTTGCTTTAGTGAACAAACCACAAAGAGTGTGTCTTTTGGGCGCATGGTAGAAATATTAAAGCCAACAGTAAGAAAAACAACAATGACATAAAATGCGGGCAGATAGGTTCTTGGAGGCGTACATCACAGTACCCCGGGGCACAGGCAGCTTCCCCCCGTCGTACAGGACCACCGAGGTTCTGCGGCGTCCTGAACTTGCCCAGGGTCACACAGCCAGTGTTGGTAAGTGCTCCTGGACTGTGCCAGGTGCCCCAGAGGTAGAGACAAGGAGCAGATAATCTCAGGAGATCAAGTGGCAATGGCTTATTTTGTAGGTTTCAGCAAAAAACCTTATGTTTTATCTTTCAAATCATGCAAAATTTGTATTATACTCTATAATAGAAGCTTGTTATTTTTTATAGTAGAGCAAACATATTAAATTATTTATCCGATGAATTATTTAACTTTTCCCTCCTGAAGCTGACACCCTGGAATGATGTGCCTCGTTTCTCTGCGGCGGCTTCATAAACGCGCCGCGCTCAGCCACGTGCCGCTGGGCGGACGCTCGCCGGGCGTGTGAAGCACAGGTCTGTCTGAGCCCGTGGGCTAATTATTTATGGGTGGTTTAAGGACCTAGTTCAAGGTAGCACAGAACTGTTTTTAACCACAGCATAAGGTTGTGAATGCTGCCACACTCAAAACATTCATGAATTCATTCAACAAACAAGACGCTGGGCCAATCCCACCCCAGAGGGGACGCTGACAGACCCCTGCCGGGAGCGGTCAGACAGATCGGACCAGCCAGAGGTGGGGCCAGGCCCTACCCTGCCCAAAGCCCAAGCTGGAGGGACGGGGCTCACTGACCTTATGAAGGTACGGAAGCCTGTTGGTCCCAACTTCATTGTTCCCTTGATTCCCAGGAACCGGATAAACAAATTGGCCATCCTGTCCACCAGGCGCAGGTAGTTGAATTGCTTCGCGTACTTGGGGAACACCTGCTTGAGGCAGATGGAGGGCAGGTGGGCTTCGGGGTTGGGGTTGCCATCAGAGGCGATGGCCAGATCACTGTCAGAAGGATCTTCCTTTCCAGCTTCTGGCTTCTCCAGCTGCTGAGACCTGAAGCACACAAGGAATTAATGATTGGACCCACAACGGGCGCGAGCTTTGCAGCAGCAGACAGAGAGCAATTTCTCTTGCATATTTTCCTTTCCTTGAGATTTACAGCAACCTCGGGAGGTGGGTATTGTCACCATTTTTATTGTACAGAGAGGAAATCTGACCTCAGAGCAGGGACCTGCCCACGCTCACAGCAAAAGGCAGGACCGGAACCCAAGACAGAGCCAGGACAAGAAATATATGCTTCCCCCGTTCTGCGATCCTGGCTGCCCAACACGGACAGTTCCTTGACTGTACTCACGATTCAAGGGAATACTCGCTCATGGCGCAGCCTGGGTTTGATTTTAAACTCCTACTTATGGGTAGTAATTGAATAATTAAGAAATATAAAAATCTCCTTCAGGGCTGGCAAGAAGCCATCGGCACAGCTCAACGAACAATTTGCAAAGATGCTGCATCTCTGCAATTCTAGAAACGGGCGCAGTCACGTTTCTGGCTGAACTATTTTCTTATTTGGAACTCATACAAAAAAATGATTCTAGTGCTGTGATTCCTTAGTCCGGGTGTTTTATTCTGAAATTCTGGTATTCGAGAAAATTCACAGCGAGTAACGCTCACATATCCAGCTTTGTCCTGGAATGTTCTTCTCACCTCCACACCCACGTGTCCACCTACCTGCAGGCACCTCCCTCCACCTGGAGTGACCACTGCCCCTCACGCCAAATCCTCATTCCCTGTCTCCTTGAGTGTGACATCCGCCAGTTACCCAAGCAGGAGGCATTAGAATAAATGCTACCTCCTCCCCGTACACCACCACAGCCAGTTTTACCTCCTTAGTGTCCCCTGACACCAGCTCCTCTCTCTCCTACCTGGACTCTCACCTGAACTGTGGTAACAGAGCCTCCTGCCTCCAGCCTTTGCCAACCACAGCTCCATCCTGCACACGGCAGCCACGGTGCCCCCTTTTAAAGCAAACCTGGCCGGGTCGCCCACTTGCTACAGCTCTTTGGTGACCCCCGGGAGCCCACACAATGCAGCCACACTCTTCATTCTGGCATTCAGGGCTGTTCCCGATGTCTTCCCCACCCTTCCTCATTTCCTGTCGCTGCCCTAGACACACTATCCCCTATAAGGCCCTGAGCCCTCCCTGCTGCCCCACCCTGCTGCCCCTCGGCCTGGCCTGGGACCAGACACTCGGCGCTCACTGGACACCCAGCTCCCTTCTACACTCAGCGCGTCTCTCTCTGCTCTTGCCCCTCCTCTCGCTCCCCTGCCTCCTGTCCTGCCCAGAGCTGAGCTGTGGCCAGGTGCAACCCTTTCCCCCTTGTGTGTGCCCATTCCAAAGACAGAGTCCTGGGCACACTGAACATGGACAGCAAATACTGCCCAACTGATTAACCGATGCAGGAGAACTAGAGGCACATCTCATGGTACTGAGCGCAGTGCCAAGGCCATTTTCTACTCTTTTCTCTATTAAATGGCCTTGTCCCTGGTGCTCCCACTTTCAAGCACGCCATCGGCTCCAAGTTGCACCGTCCTGCTCTCTTGGTACCTGCTTTCCTCGGCCTTTAAGGCCTTCCCTGACCCTGGCTGCCGGCCACACTTCCGGTCCACTTGCAGAGGCAGCTCGGATGCCTGCTCACCGCGCTGATGACTCTCTCCCACGTCCCACTCCTGTTCCGTGGACGTGCTCCTCGGTTCCCTCGTCTAGGTGCGCTGAAGTTATTTACATGCCAATACCTCCATTTTGTGAGCTCCTTCAAGGCCAGGACCACATCTTATTCGACTCCACTTCTATAGGACCTGGCATGTATTAGGCAGGCCCTTGGGAAATGTTTCATCGAATCTGTCGAGTTGGGGAAGTTTGCTTTTAATAGCAAGGTAAGCCTCAGATAAAAACCCAAGGTTAGGACCATTTGTATCCCATAAGCTCCTTTAAATGGGAAGGATGTTTGAGTGCTTGACAGCTCTCCGAAGGGGTCTTCTCTTCACCCCAGTCCATGGAGCCAGCCTCTGAGGGAGAGACCCCCTGCGTGTGACTACAAAGTCCTGTCAGTTCTGTCCACAGTTCCTTCTAAGTGGGTCTTGACACTGGTCTCAAAGAAAGGACAGGGGGGCAGACCAGAGCGGAGAACCCCTTTCAAATTCAACGGTGCACATGGCTCTGGGGCAACAAATACGCCCTCTGCCCCCGCCAGCAGCTCAATTCCTCTGGAGGAGCCGGTGTTCCCAGGGTGGGGCACAGGCCCCCTGCAGCCCCCCCCCCCCACTTTACGCACATCTCTGTCAAGTGGGGACAGTAAATAAAAGTCAGCGGGCTCCTCCTCGGGTGAAAGGAAACGTTTTCCTGCTAAGGTTACAGGGGAAAAGCTGAGTGAAAGAAAGCAGCACCGTTACTGGAAATTAGCTCTTAAATTACTGGGTAAGCGGCCATCACCGACTCTGTAAGTTTTTGTTACAGCTGAGATTTAGAAATGTGCAGTGTGGACACACTCGGCGACCAGGAAAAGCGCTCAGAGGACTCCTCAGTCAACACACCCGTCTTGCCCGTGTTATCTCATCTGCTCCGCACACGACCCCGGGAAGGAGACCGTTGTCGCTATATCGCTGTTTCAGATGGAGAAACTGAGGCACAGCAGGCGGAGCACCCCGGTGCCTGGCTGACCCCAAGTTACAAACCCATTCTTCTAACCTGGGCTCGCTCCCCTTTGCCACCATCACTCAACAGCAAACCACGCTTCGCGCCGGGCGTTACAAAACCCTAAGCACTGCTATTTATTGTTTGCGCGAAATCGTTTTTATAGATTCTAACAGTGATTCACACCCTCGGCGGACAACTTGAGAAATGCACAAAGGAATCAAAGCCATTTGTAATCCCACACGTCAGGGATGAACAGTATTAACGTTCTGATTTATCTGTAAAGTTAGGATCACAGGACACGCAGTTAAATCCTTCTTCTTACGCGTTACAAGTATTTCCCGCAGCACTAAATATGTTTCCAGGAGCGTGATTTCTCACGGGCATGTAATACTCGGTATTGCGCCTGAACCATCACTTAATTAGCCACGCCCCTCCGTGCGAGAGGGAGCGTCTGCGAGGCCTGCTCGCCCCAAACAGAGGGACGCGCTCCCTCGGAAACGACACGGCGCCACCAGAAGCAGCGTCGGAGGTCATTCTGTCCAGCGATGCCTCCATTTTCTTTCATTATGGTCCAACACGCATCACACATATTCGCCACGTTTAACTGTTTTAAAGTGTACAATTCAGCGGCGGTATGACCTCCGCAACGTTGTGGGACCCTCCCCAGTTCCAGAACATGTTCACAACGATGTCATTTTAGAGGAGACACCTTAATCCTACATAGACAGGGACATCCGTGCCCATGGGTCATTCACCCGGCAGCGTCTCCGGGGTGGTGGCCTTAGCTTGGGTTGCCCTGGTGATGGGGACCCAACCACCCCCAGGGACCCACTCAGGTTTTCCCGGTGTAAGTCAGAGGCTGTCTCCCCGCAGTGTCCGCAGCCTGCACCCCACCCCGCCCCAGAGCCACAGAGAATGAAGAGTCTGCTTTCTCTTCTACGTGACGGCCCTTCACGTTTCTTCCCAGGGGTGCTGTACGTCCAATAGGATGACTCCAATTTCCCTTCCTTCCTGATCCCAGTTGATAACCTCAAGATGCAAAGGGCCTTCCAAGCCACACACACGTCTTTTTCATGGACTCAAAACCACAAATTCAGGGGGAAACGGGTTTACTCAGCTGGAAGAAGGCAGTCAAGATACAGCTGATGTACAAGAGGAAGTAGAACAACAAGAGATAGTACCTTTGCTGGAGATAATTTCACTTATCACATTGAGATCCAGGTTATCACAAATAACTACAAAATCCTGTTTTTACTTAATAGCATTTTAATGGAACTGTCAGGCTTTTAAAATAAAAGTGGCTGGTAAAGAAACTATAAATCAAGCTTACTAGTCCTTTGGGGTAATTTTAAAAATTGAATTTGGTGTATCCATGATTCAGTAAAACAGAGGAATCTCGAATGTTCTATTTATCACCGTTTTTCAAATAAAATGGAATTATTTTTTATTATACCTCTTGGGGAAAAAATACCTATCTTTATTTTGCCTGGCAAGCCTACTGTCAAAAGTCACCAGTATTTATTGGGAACCTACTACATGTAGTTCAAGCATCGTGTCAAGCAACTTACCTGTATCACCACAACTGTCCCTCGTAACAATTCTATGAGGTGGGTGGAAACCGGTCCCATTTTACAGAGTAGAAATCTGAGGCCCAGAGAACCTGATTACATGCCCAACAACACAAATCAATGGTGGAACCAGAATTTATGCTTCTGTATAAGCTGTATATATTCCCAGAAATGAGCACTCTAGGAAAGCAGACAAAGCAAGGTCAAGTTGAAGATTCAGAGAAGGTGCTCAGATTCTCTCAGAAAATAGTTTCCATTTTTAGTTAAGCATCCCTTCAATAATTTATTTATTCATTCATGGGCCACTTCCCAAGCACTTACCCATCCCAGGGCCCTGGGACACACGGGTGAGGCGCTCACCGTCCCCTACCCCGGAGTACTTGCCCAAGGAGGGAAGACAAGCCCCGTCCGTGAACAGTGACCGAGGGCGGTGGAAGCGGCCAGGCCAGCGTCTAGAGGTGGGGCCCAGAGCAGGCGGAAGGAGCAGGGTTGCCAGGCCTTGGCGGTAGACCTTCTGGGGAAGCGGGTGGGAGTACGAGCTGAAAGCCCACGTGCGTCTGGGTCCGACAGGCTCCGCAACGGCAGACAAACGGGCTTGGGTGTGGCGGCGCAGGAGGCGAGAAGAGTGTGATGAGTTTCAGGGAGAGAAGTGGCAGGATCGGAGGTGCGTGGGGATGAATGCATGTACGTACCCTGATCTGGGTCGGGGATGGATGAGGTCAGGAAGCGCGGTCCCCAGACCAGCGGCATCAACACGGCCTGTGAGCTTGTTACAGATGCACTTCCTTGGC